CCAGGGTTTCTCTGATGAGGCCCTCGCTTGGGCTGAGTGCCGGAAGGAGAGAAAATGAAAAGGATGGGGTGGAGGCTACACACATGGTCAACTTTTCTGGTTCTTCTGTAGGTGGCACACTATCTGGCGCTTGGTGGTCCAGGTCCCCGAGCAGGTCGTCCCGCTCCTGCTGGGCCTGGCGCTTGGCACGCTCCGTGGCTGCCAGTTCCTGCCACAGAGATCCAGAATGTGACCTGAAGGCAGCCACAGCCCACAAGACCATCCTTCCCAGCCCTGGCACCCTCCTCTCAAGCCCTTCCCCAGCCCCACCTCCCCAGAAAGCTCTTCCTCCAGGATTCCTCTAGCTCACAGGGCTGGTGCCCCCCTAAAGTCATAGTTGAAAAGCATTGTATGTTCATTAAAACTGAACTACATTTAGTGCTAGGAATCAAGCCAGGTGCCAGGGTGTGTTGATGACTAACAAGTGTCCTGGCCTAAGCAGGGCAGACCACGTGGACAGAGCCGCTCACTGCTGCCCTGCTGCTCAGGGTAGCCAGAGTCTGGAGTCAGCTCCAGAGCCTGCAGGCAGGAGACGACTACACCCTGGACGCAGTCACACCCGGCAAGTCACACTGCAGGGCACCCTCTAGACCCAGGAAACACTTCAGGACTGGCTCAGGTGCGACATGGACAGGGCAGCTATGGGGATGCTGAGACCCTCCATCGGTCACGGCAGGTGGTGGCAGCCACGGAGCCTCATCTGATGTGAGCATTTCACTCACACAATCTCATCATACCAGGGAGGCCACTATGTAATGGAACCCTGGAGGGAATCCTTTTGTAACAGGAGAGCTGAGTCAGCCCTAGCCCTCTGCTGAAAGCCCTGTGCTGCGACCTGCTAGCTGCAGGGCAGCAGTGCCACTCTCCACTGCATCCCACCCACCTCGTGCAAGTGGATCATCTCGGCCTCCACACTCTTCAGGTTCCTCTCATTCTCTTTGGCCTGGGCCAGGATCTCCTCGCGAGAGGCGCGGGTGTCGTCCAGCTCACGCATGCAGTGTTTAACCTGGGCCTGGGGCAGGGACAGAGGCTTGGCACCCCACCCAGGTCCTTGGCCCTCGGCCCTCCACCCCCACCCTCGAGCGTCATCTCGCACACAGGGATGGCTGTACTCTGCTTGATATTTAACCAACCATGGTGACAGGAGAGAAAAAAGCAACTGAGGACAAAAATCTGTGTCCCACTTCATAACTCACACTTTGACAGTGTTGATCACTGTGGACGCAAGCCCAGGCTGAGCTTCATTCTCCACTTCTGTCCCTCTGTGGGCGGGAGACCAGTGCCCACGGTGCCACCCCTAATGCGCACCCGCCGCTTAAACCAGTGCCCAGCCTGGCAGGTGTCCCCACCACAGGCAGGAAACACCTTTCCTTTTGTTACCCACCTCCCCATTTGTTTTAATGCTAAAGATTTTTGTCAAATACTCTTTTCTTCCATTTGCAGATAACTCCAAAAACAGATTCCCCAAGCCAAGTGCACGACTGGGTGTGTGCAGCCAGTCCACAGCAGCAGCAACATGCCAACAGCAGAGTATCGTGCCCCACAACCTTGCCCACAGTTAGCTTTTACAGATTTTTTTTTGCCCAGCACAGCACGCTCACGCCTGTAATCCCAGCACTATGGGAGGCTGAGGCTGTCAGATCACGAGGTCAGGAGTTTGAGACCACCCTGGCCAAACCCAGTGAACCGCCATCTCTACTAAAAATACGAAAATTAGCCAGGCATGGGAACACACACCTATAATCCCAGCTACTCGGGAGGCTGAGGCAGGAGAATCGCCTGAACCCAGAGGCAGAGGTTCTGGTGACACAAGATTGTGCCACTGCACTCCAGCCTGGGCAAAAGAGCAAGACACTGACTCAAACTGTATTTTAAACCTAGGGTTATTCTTGCTACATGATATGACATATCAGAGCTGTTTTTAATGTGTTCATTATTCTTCAATTATTGGTGAGGTGAAAATTTCCAAGTATGTATCCCACACTCTAGGCTGCTTCTCGGAACCATCACACCGGAGCCCAGAAGGCTGGAGCGTTAGGACGCAGCTGATGCTGGAGTCTGCACTGGGTGAGACCTTCTGAACTCCCCCATGCCTAGGCCTGCACTTGCCTGTTTGCTTCTGTGTTTCATGTACTCAGCCATGCACCGTTCTGCAAGTTTGCTGTTGGACTATTGTTTCCACTCACCTCTGAGCCTGTCTCCATTAGTGAGATGGGGCTGGAAGCACCCAGAACCTCCCCAGTGCCCTCGCATGTAGCTGGCTCAGCTGGGGACTGCCCGCCCTTACCCGCCACTTCCGCATCTGCTCGACGGCTTCATCCTGGTTCTTGTTGGCCGAGTCGATGCGTGCCTCCAGGTCAATCCCCAGCTTCTTCCAGGCGGCCACTGACATGGAGTGACTCTTCCTCTCATCCTCCAGCTCTGCCTTTATGTCCCACACCTGGAGGAAGGAACACTGACAGCTTGGGAAGCTGGACCCACTCAGAGACCCTGCTCTGGCTCTGAACCCAGGTGTCTCTGCAGGATCTGCGGGGCCTCCGGAAGCCAGTGGGCATTACTGACTCGAAGAACTCTAAGAAGGTGAGTCGCTGACCCAATGGTCAGGGGACTGGACAGGAGGGACAGGGGACGGGAGGCGAGGTCCAGGGCCCTAACACAATCCAGGTAGAAGGAGGAAATGGAAGCCTGGGTGAAGCCAGGGCAACCCTGGCCACCGTGGGGTAGCAGGAGCCCACACACACCTGTGTGACCAGCTGCTGCACCTTCTCCTCACTCTGCTCGTCCCGGCCCTGCAGGTCCTGCTCGAACTGGATCTTCATGGCCTGCAGGTTGACCTCCAGCTGCCGATTGGCATTTTCAGTGTCCTGCAGCTCATCCTCCATCTCCTCCAGGGCGATCTTCATCTCCTCCACCTGCTGCTCCAGAGCCCACTTGGACTTCAGCTCATAAACCTGAGCCCCAGAGAGCCCAAGTCAGGCGCAAAGGGACTGGCAGGGACCGGGTCTGCTACACCCGAAAGGTGTGTATGCATTGACCCTCTGTGATGACCCCGCTCGGCCCCTTCCAAGACCTGGCTGCCAGGCCCCAGCACTCACGCTCTGCCCTTGGAGCTCAGGAAGTGCTCTATTTCAATGCGGATCTGCTTGTTGAGCTGCTCCAGCTCCGTCTTCTTCTCCATGGCTTCCTCCAGGGCCCGGGCCAGCAACAGCACCTTGGTCTCCTTCTCTCGGGCCTCGGCCTTGGCCCGGTCACGCTCCTCTGCATACTTGGCAGAGATGGTCTTCTGCTCTGCCAGGAGCTGGGAAAGAGAGGGGCATCATGAGGCTCAGCCCCACAGGCTCCGAGCTACAGCCCCCAGCAGGCAGAGCAGCTGGGCCCCAAGCTAATTTTTGTATTCTTAGTAGAGATGGGGTTTCACCATGTTGGCCAGGCTGCTCTCGAACTCTTGACCTGGTGATCCGCCCACCTTGGCTTCCCAAAGTTCTGAGCTTATAGGCATATAAGAATGCCCAGTCAAGAGTGCATTCTTTAGGGTATACAGGCCCCACAGTCTGCAGAAACTCAACCCCACTACCACAGCGCAACAACCAGAGCCAACACAAGAACGACAGTGTGTGTGTGCGTTTGATGCAGCTTTCTCCCCAAAACGCAGCGGGCTGGACCCGGCCGCCACAGTTCCATGCTCGATGTCTATCCCGCCCTGGTGTTCACATCTCCCTCACCTTCCCTCAGATCTTTTGGAATAAGGAAGCAATATGGATGCACAAATAAATGGTTTAGATGACAGGAAAACCAGTTCATTATAGAAAATCTGAAAAAAACGTGAAAACCCAGAAAGGAAAAGTTCCTCCTCAACCCACTGCATGAAGACACCCTCTTCCGCTGGCCTTCTCCCCAAGCCCCTCAACAAGCCAGAGACTAGGGGTCCTGTAAGTGCTGGCCCCGCATGACCCCTCCCGCGCAAGGTCTCGAGGGAGCCCAGGGTTTCTCTGATGAGGTCCTCGCCTTGGGCTGAGTGCCAGAAGGAGAGAAAATGCAAAAGATGGGGTGGATGGCTACACACCTGGTCAAACTTCTTCTGCTTCTCCTCCAGGTGGCACACCATGTGGCGCTGGTTGTCCAGGTCCACAAGCAGGTCGTCCAGCTCCTGCTGCAGACATGTCTTGGTATTCTCCAGCTTGTCCTTGTGCCCCTGGCTCAGGCCCTTCAGGTCCTTCCGGAGCTGCCTCTTCACCTCCTCTGAGGTTTCCAGGCACCCCACACTGTCCTCAATCTTCGTCATGTCGGCCACCTGGGCAGGAGCAAGGAATAAGCAGATGCCTGAGATGGCACCTGCTCAGGTGACACACCTGTCCCTGGGACAGCTGGGAGCCTGCCTGCCACACTGTGAAAGGGGCACCAGGGATCCGCCCAGTTATGAAACTGCCTCCCCCAGTCACTTCCCTCTCCATGGGGGCAAGACAAATGGAGTTTCTGCAGAAAGGCATCCATCTAGTGTGTGAAGCTGCGGGGAGGCTGACTCCTAGGCCCGCTGAGGGGATTCCAAGCCCTCATCCACACCAAGCCTCTCGCTCTCTGGGGGACCACCCCCAGAGAGCAAGGCCAGTGCCCTGTGGGGGTGTACACGGGGTCCCCATAACTCAGCCCTTGCATCTGCAGATAAACCTGCAACCACATGCGCTCGAAGGCGACTCCTACCCTGACTTTGGAATGAACTCCCAGCCCATCTGGAGGTGGATCAGGCCTTCTGGCCCGCCACGTGGAGGCCTAAAATAGGATCTACGACAGGGACCCTGACATTAGTCTACGGACCCCTTGACATTCTATAGGGAGGACTAGGGACTCCTTCTCATGACAATGTTTTAACAGGCATGAAATAAACATAAGGGATCACCCAGGCAATCAGTATAGAGAAATGCAGTTGCCATCACTCAGGAAGCCACGTGACCCCAGGTAGCACATCAGATAGCAAACTCAGCGCAGGCCTGGCAATCACGAGGCCAAGGAGCTGAGCCATGACCCTAACAGGGTAACTGGCCATTTCTCCAGGTGACAAGGGCACAGGGACTGCCAGCACCATGGCTTGTGGCTATGTTCATAATGGAAGCAGTGCTACATTGTAGCTAGACTGGTGAACATAAAGTATAAAATAGCAGTGAAAATAGTGGTGTCCCCCATCTAAGTCCACAGACCCCTGGATTCCTCTCTTATGGCCTCAGGCTAAGAGCGCTGATGTGGGACAGCAGGGGGGAGGGGGGCTTCCCTGGAAAAGAGCAATAGGCTGGCTCAGCAGCAGTCTGTCCTGCAGTGCCCAGGCCAGCAGCTCTCCAGCCTGCAGCATCTGGCCAGTTCCCTGGGCCTCCAAACCTGGGCATGGAGGGTGGCAATCTGCTTCTCAAGGTTGTGCGTGGCCTCCTTCTCCTTCTCCAGCTGTTCCCAGAAGGAATTCTTCTCATCCTCCACCTGCTTGAGGTTGGTGCTCAGGCCCAGCTTCTGCCGGTTCTCCTCCTGCAGCAGCTCCTAATCCCGGGATGAGATAAATGCGGGTGCTCAGGAGAGTAGTTTCTGAACCCCAGGGACCCCACACCCTGGAGAAGAGGGAGGAGCCGGTTCTGCTGATTCACGGGATGACCACGTAAGGACCTGGTGGGAGTTGGGAGAATGCAGAGACCGCGCCCCCAGGATGAAAAGGAGCATGGGCAATCTGATGGGCTCTAGAGCTAATAGGCAGAGGGGCCTTCCAGGAGGAGTCCACCTTCCGGGAACCTGGTTTTTCATGGGATATTGAGCAAGTCCATGTTGGCTGCCAAATACAAAATTATTTTTCAGGAAGAAAATGTTGCTACTGAGAAATAGGCTCACTACTAACTTGTCAGTGATGTCACCTTTGGACTGACATCATCAATCAGGCCTCAGTTGGTCATAAGCTCCAGTGACTGGTAGCTGGAGTCTATGACAGCTGAGGCCTGATTCACAATGGCAGTCAAAAATGATACTCACTTGACATTCTAGAAGCCCCAGAAAAAGATATTTCTCTTCAAGACAAAGAAATGCATCTTACTATCTCAGGTGACGTCTCCTCCTCCGGGTCTTGAACGGGAGCTAGGAGGACACAGAGAGACAGTCAGTGCACTGGTGCTGTGAGGAATCCCACAAGGAGGCTTGGGGGACGTGGACTGAAGCTGCAGTGTATGGAGCTGGGCTGCTGACAAGCATGGACTGAGCTGCTGCTGGACCACTCTCCTTGGTGTTGAAGGAAGGCAAAGGAGAGGGGCAGAAAGAAACCAAAGAACCTTGGGTTTTCTAGCTACAGCAACCTCATCACTGTGAAATAGTCTGAGAACCGGTTAATACAGAAAGACACTGCATGGCTCAGTGAGAGCATCTCATCAGATCTGCTGCCCACGTGAAGGTCTAGATGAATCCCAACATTTTATGAAACGTTACAGGATTATTTAACTTCTGTGGATCTGCATATCCTGATACTACAATTATCTATCCTGTTGTATTTTTAAAATTGTAGTAAAGCACACATATTTATTATTTTAGTTATTAACTGTGCATTTTAATGATATATTCAGTGAGTAACATTCATGATGCTGTGTCAATAATGAGAAAAATCTAAATTCATAATCTAGCTTCCACCTTGGGCAATGAAAGAAAAACAGCAGTGTAATGTCAAATAGAGGAAAATACATAATGATTGCAGAAATTAAAGGAATAAAAAACAGGAAATCAGAGAAAATCAACAAAACCAAAAACCAGTTATTTGAAAAGATCAAAAACATTGATGAACCTCTACCTTGTCTAACCACAATGGAAAAGAAGTCACGATGTACCAATAATATCAGTTGAAGACAAGTGGAATCAAAAATAATAATAAAGGAATATTGTGAACACATCTGTGCTCACACTTGGATACATTATATGAAATGAGCTAATTTTCTGGATCTGTTTCAGAAGGTTAAAAGTCTTCTCAAGATAAATGAATCATCTAAATAGGCCTATATTTATTTTAGAAATTGAATCAATAATTAGTATCTTCTCAAAAAACAAAACAAAACACTACCTTCAGATGAATTCACCGGTAAATTCTACCAAAATTCTCACAAAGAAAGGTAGTCTTACCATACAAGTAACCATAATTTTAGCATTGCCTTAGTTACATTGTAAAAATTGTTTCCAAACAAGACACAAGAAGGTTTATATCTGCTGTATTCATAATTGCCCAAACTGAAAGCAAACGTCTAAATATTCGAGATGTCCTTTACTATCAAAAGTGAACCAAGCCTGGGCAACATGGTGAAATCCTGTCTCTAACATTAAAAAAAAATAGCTTAATATAAAGCATGTGCATTACAGCCAACTGCTTGGGAGGCTGAGGTAGAAGGATCAGCTGAACATGGGGAGGTCAAGATTGCAATGAGCTGTGATTGCACCAGTGCACTCCTGGGTGACAAAATGAGACTTTCTCACAAAAATAAAGAAACAAAAAGAACCAAACTCTAAGTTGTCAACGTAACTTTCCTTGTGTAGTTGCGTCACCCGTTGATTAAATGCATTTCAATGGGCACAAATGAAATAAATGAAGAAACTGACACAGCATTTACTGAGTTTCTCTCATATGGGGCACTGGATGAGTAAACTGAAATTATTTGCTTCAATCAACTTCATGATATAATTTCCACACTACCTTCATTTTCACTGCGGCAAATTTTCTTGCGCCTCCTCTTTGCTACCCAGTTCCTGGCACGGCCAGCCAAACCTGCAAGGCAGAAATGTATCATAATAAAGACAATGCTTGACACCTTGCTGGCAGAGGACCACAGAGAAATTAGTAAAAACGTTCTCAGTTTAAACTTTTGATCCTAGTTTTCACCGAGTGCTTTTCAATGCTACCTGAATTAGATCTGGGTTCTAGGGAGATTTGTTTGTGCAGGCAGATACCTTTATTCAGATGAGACAATATAGAAAAGCAGAAGTTCCAAGTTACCAAAAAAATAGGCTGGGTTCAAATCCTACTTAGAATCTGCACATACCTGGAAGAGGGATATGAACCCATCTGTGCCTCTCTTCCCTATTCTTAGATGTGGAAACATTATTAGATCTAGGCTATAGACCTACTAATCTCTATAGTGTCTAAAAGGATGAAATGCAGATAAAGACTTAAAAAGACTCATGTTTTTGTAAATGCCCTAAAATGTTCGATCAATGTCGGGAAGAATAATCCAGACACTTGGTAGTGGTTGACTACAGAGAGGGAGCTTGCATGTCTGCGCAGGATTAGGATGGAAAGTGACTTCACAGTTTCCATGGCCACATGATTTCCAGCTCATGACAGAGATCTGTGATTTCCCTGATCCCCAAAGGACAGGCAGGGAAGGGGCTACAACCCCTATTTTCAAATTCAGTGAATTCAAATTCAGACATTTTGAGTGACTTGCCCAGTCACCACAGTGAGGAATGATAGGTCTGAGGTAATCATGTGGTTGGTTCCCCGGGGAGAGAGATCCCGGAACACCCGAGTCCTCTAGATCATGCCCGGGACCCTGGACCGAGAGCTATTCTCACAAGCTCTGTGAAATCCTGCTGCCCCAGTGTTTCTGTGGGATGGTTGAGGCTATGGAGATGTGGCAGGTGGCTTACTGCATTTACTGACCTACTCTATTATCCCTATGTTGTCACTTTTAGTAGTTTTATGACCCATAAGGCAAATATTTTAAGTCTCTCCGTTATGATGCACAGTCTGAGATTTTACCTGAATCCACTCTTTCCACCCATCAGGTGATTCTCATCTGCTGGGCTGGAGCTGGCCTGCCGTAAAAGAGGACACACGGCATACCACGGAGCGGCTGTGTGCCCCACTCCTGCGCACACTCTTGCCTTGCTTCTGCTTTCCCAGCTCTGACAATCCTAATTCTGGCTTCCAAACCAATCCTGTACGTCCCTCTCTGTTCTCAGACTTGCCTCAACTGTTGGATATTTTAATCACTGTTGTGACCATGACTGAACGGTGACATTTCATATGCCATAGTATATGTTTATCTTTTTACATATTTCTTAATAGCATTTAACTTATTGTTTCAGACTTTTAGGAACATTTCCGGGGTAGGTGTGCTGGCCCATGGCTGTAATCCTGACAGTTTTGGAGGTTAAGGCAGAAGAACTGCTTGAGGTCAGACGTTTGAGACCAACCTGGGCAACACAGTGAGACCTCGTCTCTACAAAAAATCTACAAATTACCAGATGTGGCGGTGAGCCCTTGTATCCCTAGCTATATGGAAGGCTGTTGTGGGAAGATCTTTTGAGCCTAGAAGATTGAGACTGCAGTGAGCTATAATCACGCCACTGCCTGGGTGACAAAGCAAGACCCTGTCTTTTCACAATAAAAAGCATTACTGTGTCACAAGTAACCCCATTTTATTTCTCATCATCTAATATTGCTGTTTTCATCCTGAGGCTTAATTGCTTTAGTAAGCTAAGAAAAAAAAGTTGTGTTTTTTTGTTTTTTTTTTTTTATAAAGGGTACTATTTAAAGCAGGTCATATGCATGCCTTTTTGTAAATTCTAGTTTTATATGCCATAAATCTAAAATTTACACTCTTGATGTACTGAGTCTTCTTCTTAGAACCAGCCTTCTCATATGTAACACAGTATAATTCCCATTTTACACCTGACTCGAAATATTGAGAGGATAGAATAAAATGAAAGAGCAGTCTGTATACCACGTAATGCACAATGAATCACAAAGCGAAGTTTTCTCCAACTCAAAGGCGAAAAGTGCACAGTTAGCGTCCTCTGCAGATCCCATAGCAAAATGAAATCTTGAGAAAATATGCACTTTGGCTGCCCAGTGAAGTTAGAAGGAAACTGTCACAGGTCATCATCAAGACTTCCCCAACATTGGCTTTTATTTTTAAATAATGAAATACACATTATTTCGCCTGCTTTCTTTCGTGTATATTACTGCATGTTCTCTTTGCTTTTCTGCATACCCTATCTTGGGAATCACTCCATAGCAATAAAGACATCTTACTCTTTTTTACAGCTCCATACTTCTCCTTTATGTAGAAGTACCAGCTTATTTTTTTTTCTTAGAAAGAAACATTTAATAAGAACTGATAAACAGAAGCCATGTCTGTGTCTTGAGTGGTGGCAAGACAAGATGGTGGATCCCTGTGCCATTACCCCTCACAGTGGAGCGTGTATACCATAGGGAAGGGATGGTTCAGAAGGAAGGTGTGGGACAATTGAAGGTCTTTTTACATTAAAATCTTTTTACCTATAGGCAGGGTTTAGAGTAAGTACCTGCTCTACACAGTGGCTCACAATGCCCCACCCCACAGCCCCACCCAGGTGCTCACAATGCCCTGCCCCACAGCCCCACCCAGGTGCTCACAATGCCGATCCCTGCTTCTTCCCCTCTGTGTGACTGCATTATTCATCCTGGGCTGCCTGAGCTTTCCAGTCCTGAGAAAAGTGTGTGTGTGGAGGGGAGGGTGGGTGTTATTAAAAGTCACCCTGAGCACTGAACTCAGTAGAAACCCCTGGTTACTAATGTCAGTTCCATTAGCATCTCTGGTTTTCTGAGTCTGGTAGCTTCCATTTGCTCAACGAACGTCGTGATACACAAATGTTTGACTGATTTTGTACCTAAATGCTCCTCTCCTGTCTTACAAGTGTTAGTTTTTGTCTTCAATTTGACCATAGCAAAAACATGAAATGTTTCCTCTCCTCCCCTTTTCCATCCTGTAGGAAGGGGAGCCATGAAAACAAACTCTTTTCCACAGGCAGGGTCTGGCCTTCTAACTCCAAGTCTTTACCTTCCAAATTCAAGTCTAAAGTCATTTCATCTCTTTTGGAACCTGTAACCATGAGCTAGCTCTACCTGTCTTTCAGAACAAGGAGGTAAACTAAGCCCGTGACGTTACTGGAGTAGGGCTGAAGAGACGTTCATGTCAAAGTGGGAATGTTGAAGTAATCAGAGCTCCACGGCTACACTTTTGGGTAAAACCACAACAAAAACAACTTTTTTACAGCTCGGGCAGTAACATTTCATACCTTTTGCAGTCATTTTAAGCATGTCCCTCAATTTTTCCTTCGGTTTTCAAATTACAATTGGAAGACATAAAGCTGCTTCTGTCAAGGTGACTTCAAACCATCTATTAAGAACACCATATAATCTCTTCCATGGCAAACTCTATTTCAAATTTAACAAGTCTCCAAATATTTGAGTCTCAATTATCCCAATTATTAGCTTCTCTATCGAATAGGAGAAAAGAAATCATTGGGCCTTTAACTGGCTCCTTCACTGAGATGCCATAGTAGCTGGACAGCCAAGGCTAGAGAATGGGATGGAGACTCCAAAACTGGAGTATCTGAATTTTCACCAGGGAAAGGGAGAGACTAGACCAAAAAGGCCTCAAGCAAGAAGGCTCAACAACAAAGACAAGAGGCAGGACTAGCCTTTGTCCCCCATGCCCAGCCCCGGGAAAGCTGGCTATAGGCAGGAGGGAGCTGGAAGCTGAGGATGTCTCTGGGGTGATGGGATGGGAAGGAGGTGGGGAGGTGGTGGCCAGAGATGTGCCAGAGAGCAAATGGCACCCATGGCTTCTTTACCTTTGCGCCTCTTTGATTTTCCGGGCCGCGCGTCCTGCACCTCCACCACTCCAGTATGTAACACGGCAGGCTCTGGAGTGGTAGATGCCACAGACTGGCCACGAGGCTCACAGCAGGCACAACTGGGGCCAGCGCTGGGGCATAGACAATTCCCCATGGGTGATCCACAAGGGGACTGTAACAACAAAGTAACACAAAATAAAATAAAATAAAAAAACAAACAAAAAAAAAAAAAACCGAAGAAAACAAAACAAAGCAACACGCAAAAAAAAAAAAAAGCAACAGACAAAATAAAATAAAACAAAGGAAAAAACAAAGCAACAGAGCAAGCGCCAAGGGAACAAACACTTCCGTGAGAGCAGTCGGAGCTCCTCCTCCTCCCACTACCAGCTTCCGACTGAAGGCTGCTGGTCCTGGCTGATGCCTGTCCCCCACAAAGCCTCCTATGTCACCTGATTGCCAGGAAACAACAAAGTCAGGCCAGTGACTCACAATGCCACTTCTCACAACCCCATCCAATGGCTCACAATGCCCATTCCTGCTGCTGGCCACCTGTGGCCACCCTGCCCCTCTTGGTGACTGCATTATTCATCCTGAGCTGCCTGAGATAATCCATTTTTCACTATAGGCCTCAAAAAATTCAGCAATGTCCCTTCATAGATTCTATATGGAGAGTGTGTCTAACCTGTGAATAAAAACAAAGGTTTCATTCTGCGTGAGAAATCCACAAACACAAAGCATTTTCACACAATCCTTTGGGGCCCACCTCTCACCTTCAGCGTCCTCTTCTTAGTTATCTGGGCTTCTGTCTTGTATGATCTGTCAGGTTCTAGGCCTTGTAAGGGTGAGTTCCATGTCTCCACTCACTTACATGTGCCCAGGAAGGTTGGCTCTTGGGAGGCTCTTCATGGTGACTGAGGCCATGGATCCTTCACACTGTTTCTTGAATCCACTTGACACGAAATACTCATCCTGAAATGATGCTTTGAAAGCGATGCTTCCAGTCAATTGTGGGTCCACTGTATTATGGATCCCGAGTACCCAATACACGGCATATAAGAAATGAATGAAAAATGAGTGCATGGACTCAAGTGTGCCCACAAGGTGAGTGAAAAGTGTCCTACTTACTAGGTGTGCTATGAAGGCATCTGGGACCATTGGCTTTGCTATTTCATAGCAGGCCTGGGGCTTTGAAGGCTGGTATTTCCTCATTCTAAACCTCAGAGTCCAGTGAATTACCACCAAGTGGACAAAGGTCCACGGGCCAGAGCTCTTGGTGTGAACAACATACCTTTTTTGGGTGTGATTCATGGACGGGGACTATACAAAACTAAAAACCATGTTTGCGTGCTGACTACCTGCAAGCCGCGGTGAGAAAACACTCTGTATACACGATCTTATTCAATGCTTGTTACAAATCCCTGAAGTGGATTTTTAGACAAACTTTCTATTCTAGAGCTTTTTGTAACAAGAGGCTAGTGTAGTGAGCTTCCACCTACTCAGCAGCAGATTCAGGTATTTGTTATCTGACGTCCGATCGCATTACATGTATACTCCTACATGCTTCTCCTCTTCCTCTCATGATTTTATAAAAAATCCCACACATCATAGAATTTCCTCCCTGACCGTCTTGGTGGATGTCTGTAAAAGATACGATTCTTGTTTGTTCTTTCAACACGAGGTCTCTGTCACCCAGGCTGGAGTTCAGTGGATGATCTTGGTTCACTGTGGCCTCTCCTGCCTCAACTTCCTGAGTAGCTGCAACTACAGACTCACACCATGCCCAGCTCATCTTTTTATTGTATTTTAGTAGAGATGGTCTTGCTATGTTGCCTGGGCTGGTCTACAATTCCTGGATTCAAAGGATCTTCCCGCCTTGACCTCCCACACTACTGAGATTATAGGTGTGAACCGCCATGCCTGCAGACAAGAACTCATTAAAAAATATAATCCCAATACCATCATCAACCAACCATCTCACACCATTGCTCTTTATCACTGTCAACTCTCCTTCTAGCTCCAAATTTTCAGTCATTTCATGTATTTATTGTTTGAATCAGGATCCAAATAAAGTCTCTCTTTGGGATTGTGTGATTCACCTCTTCGGGTTTTTTTGATCCTGACAGCTTCCCACTTTCATCTCTGTGCTGTCCCTTGCAGTCTATTTATTGAATAAATCAGGCCATTTCCCCACACTTTGAATTATGCTAAGTGTATTCTCATTATGCTGGTTGTCATACTGTGAATTTTGCTAATTGTATCTTGTGATGTTGGTTAACTTGCTCTTCACTTTGTTCTAGTTTTGATAAATTAGTAGTTTAATCTCAAGATTTGGTGAGATTCAGGCTGGACTTGATTCAGGGCAAAAAGGCTGTGCTAGTTTCTTCTGGGAGGAAGTGTGTACTCTCTGGAGATCTTTTTTTTTTTTTTTTAATTGGTGGTGTTAATGGCCATTGATCAGTTACGGATTGAACAATGAAGGCATTGTTGTATTATTCCTTCTTCGTTTATGAGCTGCCACCCTTTGAAGAGATACTGCTACCCTAAGAAGGGCCGTGCATGAAGAAGGAGACACTGCTACCCCAAGCAGAGCCTTGCATTAAGAAAAAAATGAAGTAAATATAAAAAAGAGATGCTGCTTCTTATGAATTGTTACTCACTTGTACAACTTATATAGAAAACACCAGTTCATGGCTTGATTTCTTGTTTACCATTTTTCAAAATCATGGGCTGTTTCATTTATATCCTTCAATGGTCACCACTTCTATTAATTTATTTAGACAGGGAGGGTCTAGCTTTGTTGCCCAGGTTGGTATGCAGACACGGAGTCATGCCACTATAGCCTCAAACTTCTCGGCTCAGGTGACCCTCCCATCTCAGCTTCCTGAGTAGCTGAGACCAAAGACACGGGCCCTCAAATCTGAGTAATTTAAAAAATCTTTTGTTAAGACAAAGTCCCCCTGTGTTGCACAGGCTGGTCTTGAACTCCTGAATGAAGTGATCCTCCTAACTCAGCCCCCCAGAGTGTTGAAATTACAGGCATGAGGAGCTGTGCCAGCCCACTTTTATTTTTTCAAAAGGATCATTATGAATGCAGATATTCAAACAGATTTGATATATCTCAATTCACTGCAACTATTATCCTTACTAATGTACAAAATGTCGTATCTTTGGTTAGAAGGAGGCCCTTCAGATTGGCCCTTCGGACATGTTGAAATCATCCTAATAATATTTGATAGATTCTTTGCTATCCAGAGTGATAATATGTTCCAGGCTCCTTACACATTTCTGGCCTAGACCTGGAATCAGCATTTTGTCCAGGAAGCCTTGTTTCCTTTCATTGGGCAATGGTATTTTGAGACTACAATCTTGGTGCTAGGGGTAAATAGTATAATTTTAGAACTTAAAAAACTGCCTGACTCGTGTCTGTAATCCTAGCACTTTGGGAGGCCGAGATGGGTGGATCACCTGAGGTCACGACTTTCAGACCAGCCTAAACAACATAATGAAACCCCATCTGTACTAAATATACAAAAAATTAGCCAGGCATCATAGCGGGAGCCTGGAATCCCAGCTACTTGGGAGGCGGAGGCAGGAGAATCACTTGAACCTGAGAGGTGGAGGTTGTGGTGAGCTGAGATTGCGTCATTGCACTCCAGCCTAGGTAAAAACAGCAAAACTGTCTCAAAAAAAGAAAAAAAAAATTAAAAATAATTTAAAAATTAACAGCTTTATAGAGGTGTAATTTACAAACTAAAATCTACCAATTTTAAGTGTACAATGATTGTGCATGTGAGAGAGAGAGAGAGAAAGAGAGACAGGGTTATCAATCTGATACCAAGGCTGGAATGCAGTGGTGCCATCATGGCTCATGGCAGCCTCAACCTCTTGGGATCAGGTGATGTTCCTGCCTCAGCTCCCTGAGTACCTGAGACTACAGGCTTGTACCACTACACCTGTTAAAGCATTTAAATTATTTGCAGAGATGTTTCCCAGGCTGTTCTTGAACTCCTGGGCTCAAGTGATCTTCTTGCCGTGGCCTCCCAAAGTGCTGGGATTACAGGTGTGAGCCACTGCAGTTAGTCCAATTCAATGATTTTTAGTATATTTAGTATATTTACAGAATTATGTAACAATCACCAAAATCTAGCTTAAGGACATTTCATCATCCCAGAAAGAAACTCGTGCCCATCAGAGTCACTTTTCAGTCTCATTCCCAGCCCTAGTCAACCAGTAAACTGCTTTCTATCCCTATATTAGGCTGTTCTGGACCTTTCATATAAACGAAATCATGCGACGTGTGTTCTTTTGCATCTGGCTTCTTTCCCGAAGCCTTGCGTTGCTGAGGTTGATCACTGTGGTAGCATGCCTCAGAACTCATTTTTGATTGCTGAATAGTATTCCGTTGTACTCCCCACATTTGAATTCCTTCGTCAGTTGATGGGCATTTGGCTTGTCTCCACTTTTTGGTTCTTGTGAGTGGTGTTGTGAACATTCACCCACAAGTCTTTGTGTGAACATACATTTTCATTGTTCCTGGTTAGATACCTAGAAGTAAAGTTGCTGACTTTAAGGAAATTTGACTTTATTTTATTTTATTATTATTTTTGTCCTGAGCCCCTTGCAGTTCTGCTAGAGAAGGCGATTTTATTTTTAACATTTTGAGAAACTGTCATACTATCTTCCAAAAAAGTGGCTGTAGCATTTTACATTCCCACTGGCAGTGTGTGAGGGCTCTGGTCTCCACGTCCTCTCCAGCACTTGGTGTTACGCATCTGCTTGGTTGTAGTTATTCTAGTGGGTGGAAAGAGACATCGCGTTTTGGATTAATTTGCATTTTCCTAGTGACTGACGATGTTGAGCACTTTATAATGTGCTTATTGGACATTAAAATATTATCTTTGGAGAAATGTTTCTTCATGTTCTTTTCCCATTTTTAAGTTGGACTGTCTTTTAATATTGAGTTGTAAGAGTTCTTCTGGATATATCGGTTATTAGACATAAGATTTATAAATCTTTTCTCCCATTCTGTGGCTGTCTTCCCCTTTCTTGATTGTATCTTCTGCTGTGCCAAAGGTTTAAATTCAGCTGATGCTCAATTTTTTATTTTCTTGCTTTTTCCCTTTCCTCCTTTTCCAGGTCTCACTAGGTGGCCCTGACTGATCTTCAACTGTGCTTTTGATGTTGTTCCTAAGACATCAGTGCCTTACACAAGATCACAAGAATTTACTCTTTCGTTTTCTAAGAGTTTCATTGTTTTTAGTTTTACATTTAGGTCTGTGATCCCTTTTCAGTTAATTTTTGTGTATGGTGTTAGGCAGGGACCCAAATTAATTTCTTTCTTTCTTTCTTTCTTTCTTTCTTTTTGAGACAGAGTCTCACTCTGTCGCCAGGCGCCAGGCTGGAGTGCAGTGGCACAATCTCGGCTCACTGCAACCTCTGCCTCCCGGGTTCAAGCAATTCTCCTGCCTCAGCCTCCCGAGTACCTGGGAGTACAGGTGCACATTGACACACCCAGCTAATTTTTGTATTTTTAGTAGAAACGGGGTTTCACCACGTTGGCCAGGATGGTCTCGATCTCTTGACGTCGTGATCCGCCTGCCTCGGCGTCCCAAAATGCTGGGATTATAGACTTGAGCCACCAAACCTGGCCAATTTTCTTAAATTCTTTCTTTTAGGGTATACATTTTTAGTTTTAACCTCCAAAAAGTCCTGGGGAAGGTGATTTAGGAAGTGTTGCTATTAATACTGAAAGCTTTATATAATGTTTGGGGTAAAGGGTACTTGGAGTCACAGACATTGTTGCCAAAATAAAGCGATTTGGGAAATGTAATACTAATCACAGCCAAACCCAGCTCTATATTTAGTGGATGAGGCCACACGGATGTTAGAAAGGCCAGGCTGCAGAGGTCTTGGCTAATACTGGAAAAGAGATTTAATTTTAAAGTGGACAGTCTGTTCTATTCCTTAACATATTTTTGGCTACTAGAAGATCAAGCCGTTTGGGCAAATAATTGTACCATCCTTGTCTTATTCAAGGTGGGTCGTTCATTTCTTAAAATTATCAGTGAGCAACATGTGAAGCAGCAGAGACAGCTATTGATTCACCGTAGGAGAGTGTGCGCAGAATGCCAAGGGCCTCCCTTTCCTGACAGACATCTTTTATGCAGCTGAATCATCACCTGCATGCAAAACACATCCGCCAACGGTGCCTCAGAAAAACAACTGGCTGTGGGGCAAACCAGGTGTGGGCTCCAGCTCCCACCTGCTACTCCTGTCCTGCAGCCACGGGCACTCTGGGTGACCCTCAGTGGCCTGGGGGTGCTAGATGACCTTCGCTGACTCTCAGCATTGATATTCTGACACGGTGTTCTCTAGAAACCGCAGGAGCCAAGAAAGATGCTTCCTAAAGGAGCGGGAGCCGAGGCTCACTCCGAAACATGTAACACGTGCAGTCACGCGTCCCATGCATCCATGCCTTCCGAGACACGCGTCTCTGTTGTGGGATCGTCACAAGGTAACTTACACAAACTCCGATGGCACAGCCACTACACTAGGCAGCTGGTGCGGTCCGGGGCTGCGAGGCTGCACACCCGCACCGCGTGTGAGGTGCGGAATTCCACCGGCACCCTCATGACACACCTGTGTGTGTGTGTGTGTGTGTGTGTCTCCAACACAGGCAAGGCAAAGTCCTTGGCTAAGCCCTCACCAGAGGACAGGAAGTTTCCAGCTCGGTTATCTTCTGGGACCACGGTCATATACGGTCCTCCTCAGACCAAAAGGTCGTTCGTTATATGGCACAAGTCATTCTTTCTCTCACATCCGTGCCTGAATAAAAAGTGGCCCTGAACTCGAGCGTCCAGAGTTGGAGGCAGAACTAGCACCACTGCCCCGCTCTACACGTGGAAGGCGCTGGGCAAGTGCCGCCGCAGACCCATCAGGATTTATCTCACGAAAACCCTTCAGGCCGGGAGCCTGCGCGCACCGCATCCTGCCGAGGGCGCGCGGGACTACTTTTCGCGTACCCTCGGGGCGGGCGGAGGGATCCGTGAAGACTCCGCGCGGAAGGGGACGGGCGGGGGTGGGGGTGGGGCGAGCGGGGGTGGGGGTGGGGCGAGCGGGGAGGTGAGATAGGGGGAGGGGACGGAGGTAGAGGGCGGGGTAGGGGGTGGGGGCAGGGGACGGAGTAGGGGCGGGGGTAGGGAACGAGGGTAGGGACGGGACTGGGGGCGGGGCTGGGGACGGGAATGGGGCGGGGCTGGGGGCGGGGTAGGTGACCGGGGTAAGGGGCGGGGTAGGGGATCGGGGAACTGCGCCTGCGTTGCCGCCACCTGTCAGCCCGCGAGAGAGTTCCGTGGCCGCCGCTGCCACCGCCGCCGCTGCTGCTACCTCGGTCCGGCGCCAGCCATGGCGCAGATCCTCCCCATTCGTTTTCAGGAGCACTTCCAGGTGAGGCCGGGCGGGCCCGCGGGCCGCACCCAGCTCTCCGTCCTGGCAGCCGCGTCTCTGCCGGGCAGGCCTCCCGGGCTCAGCCCCGCGCCCCCAGCCCGCTGAGCCTCTGCCCAGCCAGCCGCGCCGAC